AATGGTCTCACAGCCGGTATGCGATAACCTCCGGTACTGCGTATCAGGTTAAACAGCCTTTGCTTATTCCCGGACGCAGAAGTTACCTCCATTTCACTAGCTATTTTGGCCCACCAGTTTTCGCGATCGTTCTTAAGGCTTTTCCTGAGTTGACGTTGCAGGCGACACCGATCCCTATGCTGATCCTGGCAGATTGGGATCTTTCGCTTTTGATCCTCCCAGAGTACTGACTCCTGAGAGATCCAATATCTTCGCGAACTTCGTACTCGTTCCCACAAGCCAAGTTTACTGATGAGTGCATCGCAAATCTAATCAGATTCCACTGTTGGTCTGCTCCACCAGCTTTTCTGTTTCAGCTTTATCGCTTAATACGATCCTTACGCTAAGCTGACCGAGTGAGCGGGCTTGATTGTCTCCTGCTGNCCTGCTGTACGAAGGAAATACCTCGAGGACAGACCCGGCACATTCAGGTGGTTTATAATACTAGGATCCTGAATTCGTGTTTCCGATACGCAACAGACATCAATTTCTGAAGACTGTATGGTACGCGCAAGAGACACTTATTGATAAACACGCATAAGAGTTCTCGCGTTGAGAGGTTAATAAGGCTTCAAACTCTGCAATTGATTAACAGAAACTCTTTGCAGTGCTATTTATCACCGACCTTTGGCGAATGACAATAAAGTGTTTCGAAACGTTTGAACGTTTGAAAATGGGAAACTATTTCAACAAAGGGTGCGAAAACCAAGAAGCAGAACAGGGTTCAGTTGAAAGCTGAATCTGTATTCGGTTACGCATGTGCATATGCCAGAAATAAGAGCTAAAGTAAGCTAGGGGATTTCGAGTGTTATGCATTCCTATTTCGAGCACTCACAACCTAGCAGTTGGTTCTTTGAATAACACTCTGTGAACTGAGCTTAATCCAGGCTTTGTTTTCTGAAAGTACAAATCTCAGTACAACGACTCGCCTTCTTTAGAACGTTTGGTCATACTGAGCAATTACACGTTCGATTCACCTTCACTGAGGAAATGATTAAAAATGAATGTTCCGCACGCTCAACCACTTCTTCCATGCAGGCTAGTTAATCCTGATGCTTTGGCATTTATTTCACATGTTGGAATCCTGAATTACGAACGCTTTCACGACTGACCTGGAACTGCAAGCACGCCTTTACCCCACCCCACTCCTACTAACACAAACCCACACACACACCATGTACCCAAGCCGTTGTCTGCTTGAACGACATTCAGGTCATCGATAGTTGAAGTGTTCCCCAGAGGAAAATCGTCAATCATACCTTTGAAATGTGTGCAGATTTATGATCATATGTGCACACAAACGAATTTGTGCAAGCATAATACTAATGCGAGAATGCCTTTTAGATTGGCGATTCAGAAGCTACTGATTACACAAAAATGATTTCTTTGTTCAGCTTTTTTGATAGAAGAAACTAAAAATTAAAAAACGATTAAATCAAGACAACTATTCCAACCGTGTTAAACCGTAATGTTATCATGTGAGCAATGCGTCAGAACCGTGTCATTACCTGCCGTTGCTGGTTGATCACAGATGAAGTGTGGTGATATTGATAAAGGCAAGACAATCGAAACAGCCCGGGACATGTCATTTGTTTTACTTGTTTTGCTATCTCTTTGCGGTGGAATCTTTGTGTTTTGCTAATCCACTGCTAACAGAAGTACGATTCAGAAGTTGTTCATCACTCTCGCTTTGTCATGCTTATCAGCTGACTGTGCAGAGTTACTAGACCTCTGAAGATACAGTTGAATGAATATACTATGCCATCAAAACAGTAATGGAGATGAGTGCCTTCACCATTCAAATGTACTTAAAAACGCATGATTGAATAATTTAATTGTTATAACAAAAGTGAAGTAGAACCGCATCTGGATTTTACTTGAGTTTGGACATAAAAGAGACAAACAACTTGGGATACACCGCGTTTTAAGTGAACAGTGAACTGATTTTCTCCTTTAAGTACGGCATGCCTTCTGGTTAACATCCAAAATACTTTGACTTTCAACTTCCCAAAGTTGACAAATTAATCAGTTCGTTCAATGGAGATATTCTCTTGTTATTCTTTTACGTCAACCTACGCCCCCTTAATGATTTCTTTTTGTGCACTGATCATCCAATGCTAACAGAATTATGCTTTTCGCTTACATACTGATTACATTACGTACTTTAGGACTGTTCGAACGAGACTGTGAAACTATCGTTTATCGAAAGAAATGTTTGTCATGTCTTCTTGATCTGAAGCTGCTTGTATTGATAATGCCATTGAACAATTTCCTAGATAGTGCAAATTGACCACCATTTATGGACATGGAAGTAAGTCTATTCTATCGCCCAGTGAGGGAACTATATAACTGGAGCATTTTAGCTAAGGAAGCACCTTTGAACGACAACGTAATAGTGATAACCCAAAACGCTTTGGTCACTACCTCGGAAGGAGTTAAGCTTAACTTGACTTATTGTTAGTCCCATGCATTTCCATCCGGGATAACTTGAAACCAATCAGCTACTTAGTGTATTCATCGTATCCATGGGATTCAGTGTCATTTCCATTTAAGAGTGAGATTATTCTAATTATTTTTTCGCTGATGGCGCGGTGGTTTAGTCGCTGTGATAGAGAAAACAGCTGAAAAGATTGATGTTTATCGAAATATTCAATCTCAGTGCATGAAATTGGGGTGGTATTGGCGCAGTGGTTTAGTCGCTGACACCGGCGTGCTTTGGACCCTCTGGTCCCAGGTTGGAGCCCCTCCACCGCCACCCAACTTAAGTGGTAGGCAGCTTTGTTGTCTCCGGTTCTGTACCACTCCTGACCAAGAGGGGCCTTATTTGGTTCATCACTCCAAATCCTGGGGCTTGGGTCATCGGCCCCCCTCATAGAATAGCGGATCCTCTTGACTATGGGACTTTACCCGTCTGCTGTTCATCAAACTAAGGTGTGTAATAAAACAAGTCACTCATCAATCAGTAGCCTCCGAAAGGTTCTACGCCCAGGGTAATTTGTTATGGGGATATTCGCAGCTGCTTGAACATCGAATTCATTAAAATGGGAACCTTGGAAGAGAGGGTTAATTCCACGAATCAGCAGCATATGATTATCTGTCGTCACAGAGATAATTCAATGTATGAAACATATAAAATCCCATCCCCCTTTCGCGAGCTTCGAAATGTGCCATTAATGCATATAAGCATTTCAAACATGGGTAATGACAAAGAAATTCGTTTTCCTCTAACAATTC